GTTGACCTATGAATCAGCCTAAAATATCCTTTAGAGTTTTCTTAAGACATAACCGACATTTCTGCATGGGGATAATTAGAAATCTTGTTTTTGTAACGAGCGGTTGCCTCTCTGAAAAAAAGCCAAAGAAAACCGTTTAGCCGGAAACGGGATTTCTGAGGATTCCCAAAGAGCTGCTGGCTGGAAACTGGGCAGATCTCAGATGGTGAGCAGTGAGTCCTTAAACATGTGAGGAAACTGGACCAGTGGAGGACAGAAGAAGAAGAGCTGGGCCTGAAAAACTCTGTAATCCAGCAGATGAAGAGGATCTGAAAGTGATCAGGAAGAGGAGCAGATCCAGAAGAAAGCTGAACAGGAGCTGAGAGCTGCATCTGGACCTCCAGCTGACCAGCTCCTGGTGGCTGGATCAGAAATGCTCTCCATGAAGGGGGCTGTCCAGAAGCCATGGAGGGAGGAAACAGGAGGAAAGGCTGAGCTCTGCCAGAGGAACCAGAAGTGGATGGATCCTCACTCCTCAAAAACAAAGCTAAAAATGGACTGAACACCAGCTCTGATGGAGGGATGGAGCCTCACTCCTCCAAAACAAAGCTAGAAATGACCGAAAAATACACCAAAAAGGCAAAAACTAAGCTAAAAATGATTAAATATAAACCAAAAAAGAAAAAACAAAGCTAAAAATGACCAGAAAATAGAGCAAAAAGGCAAAAACGAAGCTAAAAATGACCAGAAAATAAAGCAAAACAAAGCTAAAAATGACCAACAAATACACCAAAAAGGCAAAAACTAAGATAAAAATGACCTTATAATACATCAAAACAAAGCTCAAACAGAGCTAAGAAGACCAGAACAAAGCCAAAAGACACTAAAATGACCAAAATTATGCCAAATGAAGCTAAATGTATTTTTGTCAGGGATTTAACAGCAGCTAAACCCTCCAGAGTTCCCACAGTGGGTCAGAAACTGAATGAAACCATTAAACCAACATGCAGACGCTATCTGTAAATAAACAGGGAGGAAAGGCTGAGCTTCTCCAGAGGAACCAGAAGTGGACTGAACACCGGCAGCTCTGATGGAGGGACGGATCCTCACTCCTCAAAAACAAAGCTAAAGATGACCAACAAATACACCAAAAAGGCAAAAACGAAGCTAAAAATGACTAAATATAAACCAAAAAAGTAAAAACTAGGCTAAAAATGACCAGAAAATAAAGCAAAAAAAGTTAAAACAAAGCTAAAAATGATCATATTAAGCAAAACAAATCTCAAAGAAGACCACAACAAAGCCAAAAGACCCACAATTAAAAAGAAGCAGCTCTGATGGAGGGATGGATCCTCTAGAGCCGGAGCTCCACATTATGAAGCAGAGTGGGATCAGAGATGGAGGAGAAAGAAGCTCAAATGGAGGAGAAAGGAGCTCAGAGATGAAGGAGGAAGGAGCTCAGGATTAAACTTCAAGCTACCTAAAATATCTCTGCTCATATTTAAGTTTGACCATGTTTCTAAGAACCACAGGACTCCAGTTTTCTTTCCAGTCGATGCTACATTTACCAGTTTCTTGTGACTGGTTTTATCATTCAGAGATGGAGTCGTTTCCCTCCTGCTCCTCGTTCCCGTTCCGTCTCATTTCCCTTCCCTAGCAGGGGTCACTGTGTGCAAACGGGCCCAGCACAGAGGCAGAAACGAGGAATTCAACACGTTCCCAGGAGCACAAACATCACCGGGGGGGGGCAACCGTTACCCTGACGCCCCGAGCTTTAAAGCACGTAAAGACAAGCTTAAAAAACTAGCAGATCAATCTTCTGGAGGTCTGAAGGGACCTGAGGTCTCCTCTCTCTTCTATTCCTGGCTCCCTGCTCCCTGGGCCTCCTCCAGACGTCTCATGGAAAACCTCACGTTCGTTTTTTCCTTCCAGCTCCTTTTCCCAGTCCATAAATTAAAACGTCATCTGGTCGGGACGCATTTTTACAATCGGAGAAAAGCCACACAATGTGAATGGAAAGCAGAAAGTGTGCAGAAGGACTTCCAGGAGAAGCCTGAATATCCCGTGGGAGGCAGAAATAAGCTTTAAGGTTGGATAACAATAATCATTAGCCTTTGAAGAAGGCCGGGCGTGGCGGCCATGACTGGGAAGGCTCCCTCCCTCTTCCCATTCATGGCCGGTGCACCAACAATTGATGACTCCACGTCCCGGGGAGTCTCCGGTTTCTGCACAGCTCCTGGTTTCCACCCAGGCATTCATCCGCTTCCCCGGTATCCTGTTTCACAACAGCCGCCGGGTCTCCGCCTCCTTCCTCCAGAACCCTTTCAGAAGAATCTGACGCTGCACAATTCCCTCATTTTTCCCTTTTTTTTTGTTGCTTTTCCTTGAACTTGACTGTGCAGAGATAGCATAGAACTTCGAGGAATGGACTGGATCCTTATCTCCATTCGATTTGCGTAGACAAATACACGTTGTTTTTACAAAACACCAAGAACAAACACGACATTAGATGGGACGTTTACACAGGATTAGCCATCTCTTCTGGTGGGCGTGGCCAGAGGACTGGGCGGCTCCTGATTGGCCGGTAAGGCAAAGGCTAACGGAGAGAGCAGGTGGGAGGTGAGGCCTTATCTTTGGGGAAAATATATCCAAGTAGGTCTGGCTGCAGACTACTGAAGAAGCCAAGGATGTAGATCCAACTTCGCCCACATCCAAGTCGGCCTTTTTGATTAGGTCACCAATAGGAAGATCCCAAGCAAGAAAATCCTAATTGCTTCATGGCTATATCTATCTATCCATAATATTATGTTAAAATAGTGGATGTTAAAAAGGTTTGTACAATAAGTTCAAACAAGTTTAACCAAAAAATTCTCTATTTCTCACAATTATGAAGGCTGGAGGGTTAGGGT